TCCCTCCTTCAGGGAACGAGGGTTACCATATGTAACCGAGACGTTCCCTTTCAGTCGGTCACTCCCGACGTCACGTCGGATGACCGACGAATTGGGATCCCTAACAAAGGGCCACAGGTACCGCCCCTTCCAGTGTCCCGTGGAAGCCACCTGCGCCATTACTTTTTGGCGTAGGCCACAAGAGGACCAGCTACTGCTGCTATGGCACTACCCAATCAGTAAGACTGGATAACACTGGGAAAACGTACCCGTTCCACTTGGGACAGGGACGTTGCGGAAGCTCCAACCTTCCCGAAGGAGGTTTCGGAATCTGACTCCAAAGGAGGAGATGGCGGGTGAGTTGCGACATGCAACGGAAGCGCAGACCACCTTGTCGGTTGATGTACGCAACGGTCGCATTGTTGTCCATGCGGACTAGTACATGCTTGCCTCGTAAGCGCCCTTGAGACGGATCAAGGCAAGGTGCACTACCAGCAACTCGAGGCAGTTGATGTGCCAGTGCAGTTGGGGCCCCGTCCAAACCCCTGACACTGTAAGTTCGAGGTAGTTGAGAATGTGAATGCCATGTTCTCTCAGGGGAATAAGGGATGCCTCCGCAACTTACATGAAGACCCGGGGCGACAGGGACAGCCCGGAGGGCAGGACCTCGTACTGATATGCTCGTCCTTCGGACGCGTACCGCAGCAATGGTCTGTGGTGCGGAAGGGTCAACACATGAAGTACTCATCCTTCAGATCGATTGCTGCAAACCAATCTCGGGGACGGATGCATCCGAAGATGCATTCCTGCGTCAACATCTTGAACGGTAACCGGTGAAGGGAGGGCGCCGGGCGTGACGGTTCGAAGAAGCCATCAAGACGGGCTGGGTAGCGCTACCCAGGCTCCCAGACGCCGCGCAAGAGGCACCAACGGAACTACAGGCGTACCCGCAGTGGGGCAGTGAGGAAGAACGCAGGGGCCCGGGCATCTCGTAGCCGGTCCGAGGCAGGGTCTGAGTGTGCGTAACACTGACCTGCGTTCGAGCAGAGGGTGTGTGGGTAGTCCGTTGGTTCGTCCTCCCGATCCGCCCACTGCTGCTCACTGGCGAGAGAGGAGGGTGGTAAGGCGGAGGCAGCTTCTCCTCAGGCCGTATAAGCATTGCTGGCCAGTCGAGTACCTACAGACCCGTGAGGGGAGGCAGTATTAGGACACAACTGCATCGCAACCGACCGCTCCACCGGTGGGACCCTTGTAACCCCCTATCTGCACCACCGTCGAGGGTGGTGAGGGAGGAGGAACCAGCAGATCGGTTTCCGGCAGGAAAAGGTGCCGTCCACGACCTGGTGAGCTCCTCATGCACCTCCGGGAAG